GCACATATTTCTTTCCCCTCCTTTCTTTGTTGCTTTTTTGTTTTGTTTTGTTTAACCCTTTAGTGCATAGCAGTACTGGGATCACAGGCAATATTTCACGATGTTATTATTTCTTTTTTTTTTCTTTTAAAGATTTATTTATTTATTGGAAAGTCAGATATACAGAGAGGAGGAGAGACAGAGAGGAAGATCTTCCGTCCGATGATTCACTCCCCAAGTGAGCGCAACAGCCCATGCTATGTCGATCCTGAGCCAGGATCCAGGAACTTCTTCTGGGTATCCCACATGGGAGGAGGGTCCCAAAGCTTTGGGCCGTCCTTGACTGTTTTCCCAGGCCACAAGCAGGGAGCTGGATGGGAAGTGGAGCCGTCGGGATTAGAACCGGCGCCCATATGGGATCCTGGTGCGTTCAAGACAAGGACTTCAGCCGCTAGGCCATGCCGCCCGCCCGATGTTGTTATTTCTAATTGCATCTCTGTTGCCACCATGAAGAGAATTGAGTCTTCAATGGCCCTTCAATATTGAGACGTTTGTCAAAAACACTGAAACTCCAAACTAGACACCAAAGGAACCGTGTGAAAGTGCCTGCTTCCTCTCCTATTGTGCTCTGCTCTCCCATAAATATCAAAACAAGCCTGTCTAGCGTCAGCATCTATTTACTCTGCACAGCACAGACCTAAAGAAGAAAGGTGGGTTCTACTTGATACTTTGCTGCAATTTGTGTACATGTATGCCTGATTCACTCCAGGCACCTCCAGACCGCAATGCTGAAAAGATTCTTAGAGACAATTTCCTATCCCCTCCAGCCTGGCTCACACTTTATGGGTGATAAAATTTAAAATGGTTAAGTTCATTTTATGAACTGGTGACCTCTGGACTCTATGAACAAGGGACAGAGCTAATTTCTCGGAGGAAAAAGAGTTTGCATTCCTGTTTTTCCAGTGTAATATTCTTCATGCATTCTTATTTAATGAATCCTGGATAATTTGAATTTGTTGTTCTGAATCCTTTGTTAAAAGCATGAGCATAGCTCTTTGGACAAGTGGAGGCTGCCAAGTCATCATCGGACTAAGATCATTCAGTTCTGGGATAATTTCCCTTTGTTCAGTTTAGAATTAAAATGTTATAGAAATATGGGGAAAGTATTGCCAAAAAGAATGACAATAAATTTCCGACATGTGGCACGCAATCTGTGAGGTTACTCCCTCACATGGTCTTGTACGTTGGGGAGTAATGCAGTGGAAAATTAAATTAGATGAGCTTTTATTATTCTGTAGTTCTGTTAAAAATGAATCACCAGATTAAAAAAAGTATACTGTGAAATAAGCCTGTGAAATTCTTTTTATATTAATATTAATTAATTGTGAAAAAGATTTATTCTCATCCAGTTTCTGTTTTTCTCTTCCTAATCTTTTGCCTTTGGTAGAAGCAAATCCATGATAACTTATTTTGGGTTTCATCAGATTTATGCACTTAGTACCATAGCCTTGGGGGTGAAACCTTAAAGTATAGCTTCTAAATTTAAGCAGCAAAAGCAATAAGGTAGTATTTTATTGTTTCTATGACTTAGACTTTGTAGCTATTTCTAAGAAGACGAGGCTCTTTACTTGACTATAACTTAATCACTCAGCCGTCATTCTCATATATATCATGTACTGGATACACACACACACACACACACACACACACACACACACACATATGTTATATAACATAATATATGTACACATCATATGATGTGTGCATTTTCATATAAAGCAGATTTTTCCAAGCATGTGAAATGATACTTAACAGTTTAAAGCCTACACGAATGTCCTTGCCTTTTAGCTCCAAGGACGTAAGTAATGCCAGCTCTTATAGTCTACAGTACTTTTCCCTACTCCCACTGTTCTCATTTTGACTGTTACAATTTTTAGTTACATAAGGATAAAAACATCCTTCTTTTGTGTTGTTGTCTTGGGAAAGTTATTGACCATGTCTGAATGTTACATACTTAAAGGTACTGTCAGGGTAATTAAAACAGAGGTTCTCGGTGATTAATTGGTTCTTGGTTCTCCGTTCTTGGTGGTCTAACGTACCACCAAGATAGAGATTGAGCGGGTGACTGGGATGGCTATGAGCTTAGATCTCATAACCCTGCACATCTACCTTCTGTGGGCTATAGAAAAGAAACATAATTGCTTTAAGTCTCAAAGCAATTTCTTGTTCACAACACGAAGGTGACAGCACCTACTTTGGAGTTGATTTGAGAACTGAATGAGATAGGGTTTCCGGCTATGGTAAATCTTTTAGAATTGGCACTGTGATTACTATGTGCTTTGACTTGGCAGAGATGTCTCTGATGGCTTGTAAACTTCCGCTCTCAGTGTCTCACTGGGAATTTCCTGACTATGGTGTTCCTAAGGGGTTTGGGACACCAGGTGCAGAAGCTGTAGACATTGGCAGGATTTACGGCCAGGAGCTATGGAGACAGTAGATGGATGGAGAAGGGGAAGCAGCAGCCCTCAGTGAGCGACCAGTGCCGAGGGTGAGACACTTGCTGAGCTCAAGGTGCTGGGTGTGGGGCCCAATTGCTCATGGTTTGTAAAGATTGAGGGAGTTTTTAAAACAGAGATAGTGTTGAACATTCTGGAGTGGAATGAAATAAACAGTTAATGGGTCTCAAAGCCACAGCTAGATTTGTCCCTAGACCCTTTGGGGATTTAGTATCATGAAGACATGGGCTGTGCAATGTAGTAACAAACCAATAAAATAATGATAATAAAACAAGCCCACAATCACATGCATTAATTAATTTAAATCCTTACAATGAAATGACTCAGCATTTTGGAAAGGAACTAGTGATTACAGAAACTAACAATTTGCCCAGCATCACACAATTGCCCAGGGCTTGAGCCCTATTTCTTTGTGATTCTAGAATGGGGGGCTTACAATGCTCCTGGGAGAAAAAGGGAGCTTGCATGTAAGGCCAGCATCAACAAGCAAAGCTGTGTCTATAATTTCTTCTTTCTTCTTCTTCTTTTTTTAAAAAGATTTATTTTTATTGAAAGGCAGATTTATAGAAAGAAGAGACAGAGAGAAAAATTTTCCATCTACTGATTCATTCCCCAAGTGACTGCAATGGCTGCAGCTGACCTGATTCAAAGCCAGGATCCAGGGGTTTCTTGTGAGTCTCCCATGTGGGGTGCAGGTTCCAAAGGCTTTGGATCATCCTTGCCTGCTTTCCCAGGACACAAGCAGGGTCCTGGAAGGGAAGTGGAGCAGCTGGGATAGGAACCCGTATGGGATCCCAGTGAATCCCATGCAAGAATTTGGCCGCTAGACCATGGTGCTTGGCCGCATAACTTCTTATTCTCTGCATTTGCATGTAGTAACTAATTTTCAGGGTACATTATGTATGTTGAATTTATTGTTCATTTCAGGGATCTTTATCTTATAATACTGGAGCATTCATTGGTAATTGTTATGCATCTAACATTCAGTTATGTCATTAATTTAAATGATTTTTCATAATTTGATTACTTGGTTGGCACACAGAATTCAGGAAAAATAAATGAATGTGAAAACAATAGCTTGAATTGAATGCCCTGATAAATGACATGAAATTTCAATGCATCTATGAGTGGTTGAGCATATCTTGTTTTTAGTATTCACTGGAGATTTAACTCAAGAAAGGACTTCTTGCTTTAACAAAACAGCAAAAAAATTCAAGATATTGTACAATTGTCAGCACTAAATTTTTTCCTATTTGCTTCTCTCTTGTATATATAAGCAGCAGTTTTGTTTGATATTTAATTTATTGTGTAGATCTTTATTTTGATCATTGATTACCAAAAATCTTGTTTTAAAGTTCCAGTTATCTAGAAGTACCTAGATGATATGTTTATTCTTTGGCACAGTACCTTTCAAATAATAATTATATAAAAATGTTTACAAATTTAATAATAAACTGCTTGTCAACTCATTGATCTTAAAATTGTAGAAATAAGTTGGGAAACCCCTCTGGAAGTCTCAATTCCTTGGAAAAGTTGAAGAAAAAAAATCTAAATTCAATTGTGTTCACAAAGTTAAAGAGCTATGATTGTGGTATTATCATAAATAAAATATGTGAATACAGCAAATATTAAATAATAAGATTCAAGCACTCTGCAATGAGGCCGTCATTCACAAGCCTGCAAGAACATGTGCACTTCATTAAAGTCAATGGAGTGTACCAGTTCATCTTGGCATTATTCATAATGGAAACATTTCAATTTTAGTTAACAGACACAAAAAAACTAATTTAAAAGTCAAATGAGGAAATTAGTTCTATGCTCCTATAGTCCAATTCCACAGTGATATCAACTAGCCAAATTTAGCCTCAGGAGGTATGAAAAAATATCAAATACACTGAATAGAAAACCTTTTAAAGAATCACAGATCCGCTAAACTAATGTTATTGCAACCAACTCAACAAAAATATAGTTAACGTTGTAAAGAATTTCTCGCACAGCTTTATTATGAAACAACTGAGCTTATCTACAGACTTCACTCCAGCTTTTGAAAGCAGCGAATTGAAAACTAGAAGATTCATATAAGAACTACAATCCATTTCCTGAAAAAAATTTTAATTGAACAATGACTGGTTGAAAACTACTTTTTGCATAACATTAGAAAGTTTAAGGGGTGCATTTTTTTCCTGGCACACCTCTCTTAAGCTTCTCAATTGGAGTCAACACTGTTACCACATTTGAGACTGGCACTCTTCTCTCCTGCCCTTCAAGTTACTGCCATTCTTTACTATCGCTCTCTTTTCCGTTTGCATTTTTTTCAATGTTTGTATTATTCCCCTCTAGGGCAGGCATTTTGGTTCATCTCTACTTCTAGCTATTTGCAACTTATACAGTTAATTTTTCACAACCATGAATTTCCAACTGAATTTCGTTCTAGGACTATAATTTTATTTACTGCCATTTGCAGATATCCGACTTGACTGAGAAGCTCAAAAGAAATGTACTAACATTTTCTAATTTTTTTGTTAACCAGGAATTTGTGACTTCTGCATTCTGGCTCTGCTGCATTTTCAGGGGGTTGGGAATTTTTGTCCCATGTTTAAGGAGCCCTGGCATATTTATCTCTAAGAGCTCTCTAGTTGTTTATTTAGAGATTTTTAAAAAATTTGCTTATTTTATTTTGAGGGAGAGATGAGAGAGGGAAATAAAGGGAAAGGGAGAGAGAATTGACTTCTACCTGCTGGTTCATGACCAAAGGTCTGCAATAGTCAGTCTGGGCCATGGCCTGACATTTAATCCAGGTTTCCCACCACTTGAGCAATCACCATTGCCTCCCAGGGTGCATTTAGCAGGAAGCTGGAACTGAAACTCAGGCACTCTGCTGTAAGGTGTAGACATAAAAAATATATACATATATATATTATATATATATGTATGCATATATATTTATTTATTCAATCTCCCCACCCCTGCAGGCCACATACACACCCAGCAGGATGACTGATTCCGAAGAGATGTTTTAACCACTACATCAAATGCTTCCCCACTCCAATCTTCTATGTGTGAAGGAGCATACCTTTTAGTTTTTGAATGATCCCTAAAGAGGGAGTTGTGCACACATCTGTGGAGGCACTAGACCTCACCCGAGAAGAGGGTGAGTGCTACCCTGGGTAGTCCAGGGCCAAGGCATCAAGGAGGAAGCACAGATGTTGAATGCTACAGCTTGCAGACTCATCTGCTGAGTCTTGTTGGCAACTTCTAGTCACATCTCAGTCCCTCTTGGAGAGGACTGCTAATTATTATCCTTTGTCTATACTTCCTAATGATTGTAAATGATAATGACTTTAAAATTCAAGGCATGGAGAACACCTGTAGCGACTCCTGTTCTCCAGTACCAAGGCTGGCCTTGAAAGTCAGTTAGCAAACTTGATCAAATATTCCTGATACAATGCCTTCCTTTCTTTATTAGTCTGTATTATTTCTATGAATTTTTAAAAGCCTTTCAAGTAGAATTCCTTGCCTCACTTTCCCAGAAGCCCACGCTACCTGTTTTAGGGTGGTATATAATTGCCTGGTGTGTGTGAGATTTGGTGTCCCTCACATCCATTCATTCTGCCTTGCGCATTATTGTAAGACTCTGTTTCAACGTAACTCTTGATCTTCTCCAACACATGCACACAGATGTCCTTTATGATCCTTATGTGGACTCTAAATCCAAACCCACCTGAGTGCCTCTCTCCGCCTCACACTTCTGTGGACCCTTTTCTTGAGAATTCTGTTCGATGAACACCACCAGGAGGTGAATTTTGGTCAATCATTCCAGGTCCCGTGTTACCACTCAGCACTCACTACCAACTGGGCTTACCTGTCTCTCTTCCCTGCTTAGCGCACCAACCACCCTGACTTGGACCACACCAGCTGTAACCTGCTCTAGGATTTTACAGCTGTCATTCCTTCAGCACATAATTTGCTTCTCTACTTGTCCCATGGCTAGATCCCTCTCAATGCGTATCTCTGTCTAGGTGTCACCTAATTAGGTAGGCCTCCTTAAAGCAGCTCTTCCCTCTTACTGTGGCACTCTGGCATATCCCAGCAGAACATCTAACAAAATGTAACAACACTTTTGTTACTGTACCCTTTCTTCACACAGGGACCTCCTCGAAGTTAGCACCTGGTCATTTGTTCACTATTGTATTTTCAATGCCTAGTATCTAGTGTGAACCAATAAACATCCATCCAAGGAATGAATAACATTAGAGTTTTCAAGAGCTCTTAAGTGAAGTTAGAGCATCGTCATAGAAAAGGGGGGGAGAATCTTACATACTTACATCTGCAGCACCATTTATCTTTCCCACAGAAACAGATAAATATTTGCACAGTCACATCTTAAGATACTATATATTTTACATATTTACATCAATGCCCATAATCAATGAATTAGTAAGGCGAATTGATAATCTGCTGCCATTCTTTTGCTGCAATGGTGATGTGAAAGAAGAGAAGCAGCATGGGTTTAGCCCCTTGGAATTGAAATCACTCCTCAAGGACAATGAGTAGTGCTATAAAATCACTTGCAATTTAAAGATCATTATCTAAAGTCATTATATTCAGGACATTCAAATCTCACATTGGATTTTCTTATTCCTTCAGTCCTTCAAGCTGGATAAGTCTCAAAATACACACATTTCTGCTTCTACTTTGTACAGAAAAAAAGGCAGACACATGAAGGACACACATTTTATGAAAGTACAGATCCTTCCTGCATTTTAACATTGTAAATCTGTCTCTTTACCTGCCTACAAACTATCTTCATTATTATTCTGGATTCAAAACATTGCTGTCAGCATTTTTTCAGTCACAACAGAATCTCCTCACAGCCTGGAGATAACAATTTCTTTAAACACCAAAAAGCATTAAACATAAGAGAGAGAAATAACTATTTCCTCTTGATCAAAATCAAAAACTTCTGTTCACCAAAGTAATCTTAATAAAAAAAAAAAAAAGAAGAGACAAACCACAAACTGAAAATATTTAAAGTGCCTGTATCAAGTAAAAAGCTTACACGTGTAATCTGTGAGAGCTTCTAGAATCAATAATAAACACATGAGCCAATCAAATTAGGACATTTCATCAGCGTTAAACATGTTCCACTATCCTCTAGACAGATCAGCAAGACCATCATCCCTCAGAGACGAGCAAATTAACCTGCAGCAAACACCGTTTCACCCCCACTGTTGGCATGATGGAGGAGCAGTTGGAGCGTTCACGTTGGAACTCCCAGCAATTCTCATGAAGTCAAACATTTTACTTGCTCTTCACTATTTCCATTTACTGCTATTTAGTAAACAAAAATGAACATAGATATTCACAAAGAAACATCTATACGAATGTGCATAATTATCTTATTCGTAATTGCCCCAAATGCTGAAAACAGGATAATGGACAAATAGGTTGCAGTACTGCTATGCACTTGAGTATTACTCACTAATAAAAAAGAACTGTTGACAAATAAAACACTCTCAGAAACAGGGCATATGAAAGGAGACTTTTTGAAGTATATGCTACACAACAGAGAAGAAACAAGGATGGCAATGGACAATGATGGCAGAGTCATCTTCTGTCTCCTGGTTTAACCCCGCCCCCCATCTCTGTGACATATGGGACTGACAAGGCCAAAGCCAGCAGCTGGGAGGTCAATCTGAATGTTTCATGTAGGTGAGAGGCACCTGACCACTTAAACCATCACATTCTCCTTCCCAAGATGTACATTAGCAGGAAGCTGGACTGAGAAGTGGAGTTGAGACTCAAACTCAGTCACTATGTTATGGATACAGACATTGCCAGTATGTCTAAAGCACTCGGCCAGACACCTGTCATTTTCTGGCTCTGCTTATGTGAAGACTGGGAATAGAGCAAGCTAAATGATAGTACTAGAAGCAAGAAAAGTGATGGCTGGCCCAGTGATCATCATGGGGGAAGCATATGGCGCCTTGAATGAAAATTGATCAGAAATGCAACCGAGATCCAACACCTCATGGAGGGCAACTGCTCCACAGATGCATACAATTATTAAAACTCATTGGATGAAGCACTTGTGATTTGTTTATTTTATTGTATAAAAACTGTACCTCAAATTAACTAGGATATTCTAGTATTTTTAAAAAAGACTTAGTAATACTAAGCGCCCTTCAAAATATTTCTCTGCTTTCTAAGCATCAGAAACACTTAAAAAATTCTTGTACAGTATTTCAGAAAAGTAACAGACATGGTTTACAGGGTATAATGACACAAATGTATTTCATTTCATTAGAACTTCAATTTATTGTGAAGTTAAAAACCATAAAGAATTATCAAAAAGCAAAAGCAAAATCCCTGGCTCAGTTTTAAACTTGAAGAAGAATGTCATTGCCACTTTATACCAGCAAGGGGAGCAGTTACACTTTGAGAAGAATTCCATCTTCATCATCTGAATTATTTTATAGGTCACTTTAACAAGATCAAAAAAAAATTGACTTTGGGGTGTAGCTACAATGGAAATGACAAATCATTTTAATGCAGGAGGGAAAGATTGGAAACCTTGACCCTCTAGATTACTTCGAATCTCAAGGAAAAGGAGAAAAACATCTTCAAATCTGCTTATTAAAATAACATGTTCTTGTAATTCAGGCACCAGGAAAATATTTAACAGCACAGCTAAATTAACTGCGGGATACCACTTTTCTTCATTAATTATTTTTTATACAAAATAATAATGTTCAATCCTTTCTCCTACAGAGAAAGAGTCCGTCAATTGCAGTTTCTTTTTATGAACAGGACAACGCCAGTTTGTGCAGAATTTCCAAGCTGTCTGCATACCTGGAACCCGTATAAAAGTAGGTGAGATTAGCAAAGAGCACTTTATTTTCTCCTACAGGATAAGGTTTTTTTCAGCTGAGATTGTTAGGCCACGAATTGGAAGGTTTATAATATATTTTTAAAAATATCATCAGGTTCATCAATTCTTACAAGATTTGTAAGGCTTAACTCTCACATAAGCTCAGGAAGGTTGTAGGAAATTCTCTAACTCATCTTCCTGGCTTTAGTAATCCAGGATTTATGGGAAGAAATGCTCAGGCTGACAATGGGTTACCTGCCCCCAGGCCTGAGAGGCAAGTGCAGGGCTTGCAATCTCAATCTTGATTCTAACACTGAAGCACCTTCTTGATTCACCACATTCCCCAGAGACGCTGAGCACATGAGGATCCGTGCTGTGTACCTTCACTCCTATGGGACTGGAGCCCCTGCTCAGAGGATCCCACCTCTGCAGTCTGCAGTGCTCTGGAGTGTAGGATTTGCCCACCTCCTTTAGGGCCCAGTGAGAGCAAGGACATAATTCTTTTCAGGAACGCTGCCCAGCAGATTGCATCGACTGAAAGTGAAACTCTAGCATGTGACAATGTGCAGACTTTCTCTTGGTAGGTAGGCACCTGCAGCAACCTGCTAGGCACAACTCTTTCAACTCCCACTCCACCACAGCTGACACACAGAGCAGCCTTCTAACCCT